TGGGGAGGCTACGAGCAGAATTCCATATTCCCCTTCTAAATTACAGAGAACATTAGAGAAGAGGGGGAAAACAATTTTAAGATCTAGAGGATTGGGAAGTGACATATGAAAAATTCTCACGCCATATGACATGGCAGAAGGAATTATGGGTATATCAAGGCCTGGATGCCTGGCTACCTTGTCCAAAACCATAAATGAAATTGGAGGAAAGCTGGGAAGAAGACATGTCTAACTAGGAAGGGAAGACAGAGGATGACAAAGGGGTAATGGTGAATGAATCTACCTATGACATAATTAAATATCACTATTTGTTACTGAGAACATTTGAACAGAATTAATACTACAAACTATAAGAGGACATATCAATGTCTGTTTGGAGGCACAATACTTCATCATCTATATAACTAAACAGTAGGAAAAATTTTACAATACTTTTTCTTGCTTCTATTCTTGAACCAAAGCTGAACAGTAAGTGAAACATAGCTAAAAGAAATGAAAAGGAAAAAAGCTAACCAAGTACAAGATACACATGTAAGATGGAAGCTTGGGTTCAGCTCATTACTTAACCAAGGGAGTCTGTCTCTTCTACCATCAGCCACTAAATGAAGTTTCTGTTTCCCAGACTCTCTGGCCATGGGATTGTAGGCTGGCATTCCCGAGATCTAAGTCTAAAATCCATATATGAGAGAGTACATGCCATGTTTCTCCTTTTTTAAACTGGAAAATAAAATTAAAAAAATCAAACATTCTAAGGTGATACAGTCCAAAAAAATAAAAAATAAAAAAAATAGAAAAAAAAAAGATGGAAGCTTGGATTTACTGAAGGATTTGAGGGCAGCAAATTAGGCAAATTTGCTTTTACATGCAATAGAATATGTTATTGCCAAAATCACACGGATAGACTGATGTGGATGTCCTGTGTATATGTCAATAAAGCACTGTTGGTCAATAGGTAAGCAAGATAGGTGGATTCTGGGTAGGAGAAACACAGTGAGTCAAGATGTAAATGCCATAGGGGTAAGAGGCCAGAAAACTTTTCCCTGGTAAGAGAAATACTTACATTAACAATTATGCGATAAATACTTAAGTCAGAGCTATCCAGTAAGAAAAAAGCAAGGCCAACAGCTCCATAATTAATACAGCATATTGTGTATTATTTGGGGACTAAAACATGGCACAGCCCATGTGACTGGCAGAGAAAAAGCAAAGCAGCTGGCTGGCAAGGAAAAGGCTTCTTCCTACAAATTGTGTCACCATGTGGGATTGAATTTCCATGTAGAACGACAGAAGCTTTAAAGGAATTTTAGAAACAAAAGAATGGGAGTCTTCCTGACTCAGCAGAAGCAAAGACAAAATCCAAAAACAAAACCAAAAACAAAATAAAAAACCAGCATGGTTCCTTTAAGGACCTCTGCTAAAAATTAACAATTGAAAAGTTGTACATATAGCTGGATGTGGCAGTGAACACATCTGCAAGCCAGCAGCTTTTGCTGGATGTCAGCGTAGACTGAGACAATGAGCTGGAATCATGCTTATGCCCACCATTTGGAAAACTACAGTTTAAACAGCCACGATTTTAACAGATAAGACACGTGGCCAGAAAAACATAAAGTTTTACAGTAAAGTCAGACTTGGATGAAGAAAAACCTATAAAGGTTTACAGTGTGTTTAAAAATATACATAGGATTGACAGAGAAAAAGAAATGACATAGTGGTAAATAAATAGAGAAGCCAGCTGTGGTGGCACACGCCAGTAGGATTTGCTCCAGAGGCCGAGGCAGGCAGGTTTCCAAAGAGAAACCATTTCTCAGAGAAAAATAAATAAAAGTAAAAGAAATAATGTAATAATAGATAAATAAATAAGCCACGTGAAGATCGAAAATAAACAGACAGTCTGGATACTGTATGCTATTGCGTTTTTCAGTTTTTTGATTGCTCAGAAAGGAACAACTATTAAACTACACTTGAGTATAAATGCTGCTAAGTTAATTCAACTTATACCTTTTAAAAATGCCTTGACTTCAAAATTTAAGTCTAAGGATATGTTACTTTGGAAAAGAGTTTTTGTTTAAATTTCTATAGAAAATGAATAGCTGTGGATTCCTTCCAGGCTTCTGTGGTTTGATGAAACAAGACCCCCAGAAGCAATGGCCCAAATGATTCAACATCTAAAACAGCTAAGATGATACACACCCCGAAAATAAGGACTTATACAGGTTTCTGAGTTTTGTCATGATCCTCATGGTATGAACAGCACCCCCTTCCTGCACAAAGCAGTTTGGAATGAGCAGCATCAAAATCCCCATATTGTTTATAAATCTTTGTTTACATTTGAATGGAGGTGCTTATAATTTGTTAATGATCACAACCAATCTATTTTAAAGGAAAAAGGGGATTATGGTATGGAAATGAGTACTTTGTATTGGAATGGTTTTTCATTTATTGATACAAATTCAAGGTCAATTTTGTGATATGTATATTTCTCATTTTGATTAATTATTGTGCTTTTACTGGTCTTTTAGCATATAATGCATAATCAAATACAGACTATAGATAGTTATTTATATAATAGTTAGAACTTATAGTTAGGTCAGTTAGGTTTTCGAGATATACAGAGATATATTTGAGATAGATAGAAAGTCTTCAAACCTTTCAAAGACTTTCTGAAAATGGCATTTAAAATGGTTCAGGGTTTTTCTTGACAATGAGAAATGTCTGTTCCTGGTATCCCAATTATGTCTGAGAGGAAGATAGGCATTGAAGAAACTCGTTATGGAGTTTGCTTTCAACATGGCAAGATTAGCCATTTAGGCAAGAAACTGCTCTTTCCAAGACTGCTGGAATGTTGCTGTATAAACTGGATATGCAGTACCCACAGGAAAGTGACTGCTGAACTCAAATAATCCTTCAGGGTTCCTGCTTCATGGAAGACTCTACGAGACTTTCTGCAGGACCCAGAAAAATGACTGACAGACTGCCAATGCAGATGGACAGTTTGAAATTTCCTGCTTTGCTGAGAAGTGTTCCAGACACACTGTGGCCTATGGGCTGAAGATGGATGCCCCAACATTATAGAGGAACTACGGATGACTGTCCAGGAAGCAAGATGTCTCTGTCAATTCTAGTGATTATGTATTATCATTCTGTGGCCTTTGATGGAGTTGAAGACAGATAGTTATAATTGTAGTTTTCCTTAGTTATGATACCAGATGAGTGACCTATAGAACTTTGGACTCACAAGTATCAGATGGATGATATTTTCTTTAAATCTTGCTAAAATATTGTAAATGTGTTCTTCCTTGATAACTGTTCTGTTACATATAATTTGACTATGTTAAAGTTAAGACCTTACTTTTTGTTTAGACAGAAAAGAGATGATGCGGAAGTCCTGTGTATATGTCAATAAAGCACTGTGGGCCAATAGGGCAGCAAGAAAGGTGCGACTAGGAGTCCAGGAGGATTCTGGATAGGAGAAACACAGAGAGTCATGATGTAACTGCCATAGGGGAAAGAAGCCCGGAAACTTCTCTCTGGTAAGAGAAATACTTAGATTAACAATTATGGGATAAATACTTAAGTCAGAGCAAGCCAGTAAGAAACAAACAAGGCCAACAGCTTCATAATTAATACAGCATTTTGTGTATTATTTGGGGGCTACAACATGGTAGAGCTCAGGCAACTGGCATAGAAAAACCAAAGCTGCTGGGAAGGAAAATGTTTCTCTCTAGAATAAACTTTATATAATTAACTCAAATTCCACAACCACGATGCTCCAGATGACTTAGTTCACACACAAAAGAAAAGTGAATCTGACACATTTATACACAGAGCCAAGAAAGGCATAATATCTCAGTTATTAAGATCATTTGAAATATGTTATATTATATCTTAGGAACCCATGTGAAAGTGTCTAGAATCTCAAATGAGTCACAGACTATAGGCTGAGAACTGCTATGGTATTATCAAGTTCTTGTTTTCAACAAATTTGGAGAAACAATTAGTAAGTTGGGCATATGTTTGTGAAATACAATTCCTGGGGAGGTACAACTTGCGCATTCATCTACTTGCCCCATCTGGAAAATATAAACAAAATGAAGCTCAACTCAATGAACTAAAGAGCTTTATTAGAATTGAGTACAGGAATATGTGGAACCAGTTGCTTATCAGAGCATGAGGGACTCAAACACAGTTGCTATCATGGAATTCAAAACCAGCTATGAAACAGCTTATGAAAAATTCACACTGCATACATGTAAGCATATGTACAAGTTAAAGAGAATCCTTTCTTAGTGGTTAAATTATTCTTCTAAGGGTTATGACTTCTCTCAGCTTCTTCATTTGAGTTAAACACATTGAATCTTGTCAGTGCTGGGGAGTTCTTGAAGCTGTTTTGATTGCTGTGGTACTGCCCTAATCAGCTTTCTTTGAGAATGGATCATTCTCGTCTCCAGGACACTTACACAACAGTTCATACTTCAGGATTCTGCATTTCACCTTCATTAAGAACTATTTGAGGTTGAACAAATAATGTTTTAATCAAAATTGTCACAAATATCGATGCTTTCTAACATTTGAAAATAACTTAAAATTCTTTCATAAATTTGTCATGTTCATGATTCCGTAGTGTGGAGTGTCAGGTTTAGCAAAGGACAGGGTTTGATTGAAACACATAACAATTTTTTCCCATTGGAAATTTATCTGTGTTATGAATTTTCATAAACGTTCTTAGATCTGAGAGTCTGGAAAAGTCTTTTGCGTGTATATTACATTTTTAAGTTTTCTCTCCTGTGTGAATACTTGTATATGTAATCAAGATTATTTTTAGACAAAATATTTCTCAGGTTGATTTTTCTGGTGGTTAATATTATTAAAACATGGTTTTCACACTGTGTTGAAATATTCCAGAACACTTTCTAAGAACTGGAAACAACAGTAAAGGATTTCTCAAATTTGCTACATTTCTAAGGTGTTTTTGTGTATTCTGTAATGAGTTATAAGACAGCTTTTTCTGCTAAATGATTTGTTACACTCACTACATTTGTAAGGTTTCTCTCCTGTGTGGATTCTGTGATGAGTTCTAAGATGTTCTCTTCTTTTAAAGGATTTGCCACATTCACTACAATTGTAAGGTTTCTCTCCTGTGTGGACTCTCTGATGAGTTTTAAGTTTGTCTTTCTTGGAAAAGGATTTGTCACATTCACTACATTTGTACGGTTTCTCTCCTGTGTGGATTCTCTGATGAGTTTTAAGATGGTCACTTTTGGAAAAGGATTTGGCACATTCACTACAATTGTAAGGTTTCTCTCCTGTGTGAATTTTCTGATGAATTATAAGACTTCGTTTTGTGGTTAAGAATTTTTTGCATTCTCTATATTTGTAAGGTTTCTCTCCTGTGTGGATTCTCACATGAGTTGTAAGATAACATTTCTTGGAAAAGGATTTGTGACATTCACTACATTTGTAAGGTTTATCCTCTGTGTGGATTCCCTGATGAGCTCTCAGATAATCTTTTCTGTTAAAGGATTTGTCACATTCACTACATTTGTAAGGTTTCTCTCCTGTGTGGATTCTCAGATGAGTTGTGAGATAGCATTTCTTGGAAAAGGATTTCTCACATTCACTACATTTGTAAGGTTTCTCTCCTGTGTGCAATCTATGATGAGATGTAAGATCGTATTTCTTGAAATAGGATTTGTCACATTCACTACATTTGTAAGGTTTCTTTCCTGTGTGGATTCTCTGATGAGCTCTAAGATAGTCTTTTTTGAAAAAGGATTTTCCACATTCACTACAGTTGTAAGGTTTCTCTCCTGTGTGGATTCTCTGATGAGCTTTAAGATTATGCTTCTCAGTGAAAGATTTGTCACATTCAGGGCATTTGTAAGGCTTCTCTCCAGTATGGAATCTCTGATGAGTTGTAAGATGGTATTTCTTGAAAAATGTTTTGTCACATTCACTACATTTGTAAGACTTCTGTCCTGTGTGGAATATTTGACCAGTAGTAAGATTGTGTTTCTTGAAAAAGGATTTGTCACATTCACTACTTTTGTAAGGTTTCTCTCCTGTGTGGATTCTCTGACGTGTTGTAACATTACATTTCTCTGTGTAACATTTGTCACATTCACTACAATTGTAAGGTTTCTCTCTGGTGTGGATGTTGAAATTTCGTTCAAACTTTGATAAATAATTAAAGCACTTACCACACTCAGTACCTTTGTCAGGATTTTCTCTACAAAGGATTTTGTAATATATACTGAGTTGTGAAAAATTCAGAAAGGATTTACTACATCCACAATGCCTAATAAGGTTTGAGTGAGTCTTGAAGAATTCACATTGCATGCATTGATGTGGATGCTCTCCCCAATCAGTTTCTTTACGTTTTGTTTCTGTATTAGACTCAAAAAATGAATCATACTCTGCATTTTTGTAGTCTTCCTTTCCTATGTGAGTTCTTTGATTTTGGCTAAAGATGGAACACAAATACAAAAAGTTTACACTATCTTGATATTTGCAAGGTTCTTCCCCATCATTTCCAATTTTGTGTCTGTTGAGGTTTAAGGTTTCATTAGAGGCATCTCCGTGGTTACCAAATCTGTACTTGTTTTCATTTTTGGCAGTATCCATTGTGTAAAAAGGTATACACTGGCAGGATTCAGGAATCACTTTGCCAGATTCATTATATGTATAAGACTTCTCTTGAATAGTTTCATGGTCATGGATAAAATGCTTTGTGCCTTGGTGCAAGACTGTCTTCCATTTGCAACATATGCGATGGAACTCTGAAAAATTAGTACAATTGTGAATAATTGTAATTAATGCATGAGTAACAGATTCAGTACCTGATGTTATCATAGATTTTCTATGACATATAAACTAGTAGCTTTCAGGGACAGGACTCTTAACAGAGGACTTTTCTTTTTAAGAATCAATAAATGGATGTTCAGAATCTCTAATTTGATCTACAGTAAATCACAGTAACCAATAATGGCCTACTCATTGTTTTTTTCATTTATTTGACATCCTTCTACAGTTTCCCTTCCTCATAATTGTTGTATTCACTCTGCATGGCTCGCCATTATGCCCCAATAAATCCACCTCTGTTTGTGTTCTAAAAGAGGCAGATCTCACATGGATGTCAACAAAGCATTGCATACTAAGTTGAGGTATATCTAAGCTCCTCCCTTTGCATTAAGGCTGCTTGAAGCAATGAACTCTGAGGAATAGATTCCGGTTACCACGTCAAAGCATTAGAGAAAAGTTTTGATCCCACTGCCAGGAGTTCCACAAATAGACCAAACTAAACAACTGTCATACAAATTTAGATGACCTAAGTCATTCCGGTAAAGAGACTTCTAGTTCTAGATAAATACTGTCCATTGCAGCTGGTTCAGATTGGGAAGGAAAGAGCTTGAGAAAGACGATCTGTGAATGATCATATGAAGAATGATTCCCTACATCTTACGATTTGAGACAGAGTAACATAACTTGGAATTCATAAACCACATTTGCAGGGAACTAAACGTGTCCTCTCGCTTCAGGCTCTAAAGTAGAAATATTAATATCATGCTGTGCCAGTACTAATCATGGCAATCATAAAATAAATTAGTTAACCTCACAACCTTCTTATACCCAACAGCTCTTTCTCTAAAACCTTTTGCATTGTTTATAATAGTAGAAGAGTTAAATCCAGTAATAATATTAAAATATTCTAATTATGATAAGTATGGCAATATATTTCAATGCCCTGACAAGTCAATATTCTTTGAACTTTGAAATGTTCTTTGTATACTACAAACGAGGTAGAAAGAGATCACAGAGAAGAAAGCTTTCGTTACTCTTCTAGAGAACACAGAAAATGTAAATGAAACACCAGGTCTCTTGTTAACCAAATTTTCTTCATTTATGGGACTTTCTAGTTTCAGAGAGTTTACAGATACACAAAGTAGGGAAATGAAAAGGATGAATCAGAAAATCTATTAGAAGAGAACTCTTACCCACAAAAAGCAGATTCTTGTAATTCTCCAACATCACATCCATGTACAAAGCCCTCTGATCATAGTCTAGACATTCCCATTCTTCCTGTGAGAAGTCCACAGACACATCCCTGAGTGATAACAGACCCTGCAATGCAAAATTGCCTATTTACCATCCACTGCTTCACAAAATGATTTGTTGTATAAAAGAAAGCTAACGACCCATGAAGAGATGGCACACACCTTTAATCCAAGCATTCAGGAAGCAGAGGCAGGCTAGCCTGGTTGCAGGACAGCCTCCAAAGCCACAGAGAAACCTTGTCTGGAAACCTCCCCCTTATCAAGGAGACCTAATGAATTAGAGAGGTGTTTGTGATATAGATGAGGCATGTCAATTTCTCAAGGACATGTGTTTTCTAGAAGTCCCCCATGCCTACTCTTTTAAATACAATGTATACGTAGATATAGTACATTGCTTACATTAATTTGGTGTCTCTCCTCCATGAATATTCTGATGTTTTCTAAGACTTGCATACCACAAAATAATGCCAAATGACTAAATTTGTAAACTTTTGTCTCCTGTTTACAGTGTGCAATATCTTAAAGTCCTTTTAAATGTAACTAGATTGCCAGCACACACATGGCACTACAAAACAAGATGTCATCTCAGATCCTTGAGATTCTATGCTGCAACTTATAGGCAGTATTCATAGACAATACACATAATTTTTAGGAAACATATGGAAACACAGGCAATAATATTACAAATTAATTCTATTAAAAGATACTTTCTTTACCATTCAGGGACTATTGTACTTTTTTCTCTCTGTACAAACAGGATGACATAATAGTCTTGCAATCAGCAAACTTTTATGGAATACAACACACACATTTGAACTCTAGATGCAGTAATGTACCTTTATGAAATATGTGCTGATACCAAACAGAATCTCATTGTCATGTCTCAGATGGTAAGGTTATAATTAGCAAAAGTATGCTTTGAATTTGTACACCAGTCAACCTTGATTAAATATGGACACTACATGGATGCCGTCTGAAACTGTGTTCACATGACTCTATTCCAAAATTCTCAGTTCAGATCCTGAGGCCCAGTTATAATGCTGCACACTCTCTAGAACAAAGAGGTTTGATTCAGACTGCAGAATGCATGGATAAAATAAACTCACTTTTTGTTTAGTGTAAGGAGTGTAAAATCATTGCATATATCCAATGCTCTAAAAAACACATCTAATCAAGTACTTTGTGAAGCTGTTTTATGAGGAATAATTACAATGAACAGAAATGAAAATTTAAACCTCTTCTTTTCAACTGTATCTTCCTCTTCAGTATTTGAGCTAATTCATCTAGCAAGAATATAGCATAGACAATTATCATTTATGATTACTCCTTTTTTTGAAAAACTAGAATATACATTGTTATATAAAGTCACAAGCTCCCACCTGCATGAAGACATGGCTCAGAGGTAAGAGCCACATGATGTTCCTACAGAGATTCCTAATTTAATTCTCTCTAAACACATGACAATAACTACAATGTATGACTTCAGTGCCAATAGTTTGGTGCTGACCTCAGAGAAACAGGGGCATAAGGCATCATGAAGTTTACATTAAAATGTGAATATGACACTGACCTGGGGTGTATTTACCACAGAAGCATCCATTGTTCTTGTGTCTCTTCTCTTAGTGTCTTGGGAGAAAACTTGAGCTCTTACTGAATTTTCACATCTAGTTGTCAAAAATAGGAGGAAACACTATAAAATCAAAATATATACTTTACTAAGTAGTATTTACTTCAAATATAAGGATGCAAAGTGCTAAAGGTGAAGGAATTTTTCAAAAAGATTTCCTGTGAAGAGAGTTGGACATGATGACGGTAGCTAATAGAAAAGTTGATTGTATAAACATGCAAAACAAAGAGTATTACCAGGTGACCAAATGGTACATTTCCAGAAAGCTATGTGATCAAGAATGCATTTTCTGAAAATAGTTTCCAAATTATGAAACATTCCATGACAGAATTGTTGGAAGCAAACAGACAATGATGCAGAGAAGATTCAACGTCCCCCTTAAGAACGTCCCCCAGAAAACCAATAATGATTAGCAGGTTTGCAGAGAATCATTCATATAACAGAAGACACTCAGTCTTCTCAAACTTCAATCAGCATACTATACCGTGTCCCTTTCTTAGGAATACAACAAGTCTTCAAACCTACTAAAGATCAATGTTTAAAAGTATCTTCTCCTAACAGCATCAGTAGACAGAAAAGAGAAACATAAGACATAGGAATACTACCTAACTCAAATCATGATAGCATGTTTTCATTCAAACATTTGAGAATGCATGGAATGTTTATGTTCTGTGAAGGGTCTAAATAGTTTGTACCTAGAACTTCCCATGGAGCATAAATGAAACATAATTCTTGCCAATAGGATGAACATGGATAGAAAATATCAAGAGAAATGTCTCTTTGACCAAGGATTTCACTTTAACTGTGAGATGTGAGACCATTTCACATACAGTACAAACACTTGAATAGTAGTTTTCCAAGGAACACAGAGGATGAGCGAGGAGACTGCAAGAATCTATTCTCACCCCCAGAACCCTCACTGCTGCAGTTCTCCAGCAGGAGATCTCTGCAAAATTCACTGTGAGCATGGCTGAGGCATTTCCCACTCCTCCTACAAGAAATCCACTGTCACAGCATTGATATACACACAACAAACCCTGACATAAAACCAGTCTGGCCATGTGTAAATGGACAGTGAAGTTTTCTTCAACAAAAAGGAACATTTGCTGATACAGGTGACATATATATATATGTATATATATATATATATATATATATATATATATATATACCCTTATAATCTTTTCATCTAAACTGAGTTTGGTAACTTTAAAATTATGTGGCATGATATATTCTAACAGCATGTAAGTTGGCATTATCTCTACTTAACAACACAGTACATGAAGACATGTTTCTGAATGCTGTATTTACATCTTAGACTGAGTATGATGATGATGAATAATTTTGGGATGTAAAATGTTTAATGTTTATAACCATGAGTGCAACTATATGAAATATATTTTGTTTAATCATATCTGCATTGGTTCCTCATGTCATTATTATCTACAAAGCTCTCTCAGGATGCCCAGTCTCAGGGACAAAGGACACTGTCTGGAAGAGGCAAGTGGTAAAACAGGGGTTTCAGAAAGCATGGATGAATTTAAATTACAGGAGCCCTTGAATTGCCACCATAACAAACATATTCTGTTTGCAAACAACAGCCAATGCAAATGCTCTATGAAGTTATTTTAAGAATTATTTTATGACAGAATCATCTTCCCCTCCCTGCTAAAAGTGGCTTCTGGTTGTAAGTACTGTAAACTAGCCCTCTGCTGGTTCATTTACATAATAGCTTTCATCAGGTACACTTGCTACCCAGGCATAAAAGCTGCCCAAGCAACAAACTCATCAAATCAAATCAAAACAAATGAAACCAGCCGGGCGGTGGTGGTGCACTCCTTTAATCCCATCACTTGGGAGGCAGAGGCAGGCAGATCTCTGTGAGTTCGAGGCCAGGCTGGACCGACAGCCTCCAAAACAATACAGAGAAACCCTGTCTCATAAAACAAGCAAACAAACAAACAAAAAAAACAACAAATGAAACCAAACCAAACTCCAGAACCTAATTCAGCATGGTCTGCTGGTGCCACTTTAATCTCCTTTGTTTTTGTTTTATGTATATGGTATTTTGCTTTCATGTATATATATGCATCATACATGTACAGTGTCTGCAGAGGCCCAGAAGAGGGAGAGGTGGATCCCATTGGACTAGAGTGAATTAGTTGTGAACTGCCATTTTAATCTCAATACTTAACATGCAGAGAAATGTTTACCTTTTTTGCTTCTAACGATGCCTCCCTAGCCAGTTTCTGAGTAGCAAAAAACAACTCTATAATGAGCCCTCCACTTTAGAAAATGAGAAACAAACAGAAAAGGAAAAAACAACACCAAAAAGAAATGGATACAAATGCCCTTAAGAAAAGGGCATGGCCTAGGGACAGCAAGCAGGTCTATGCCCCTCACCCCACTTACCAAGCAACTGATAGTCAACTGATGGCACTCCTCCTAATCAGACATTCCTGCACCCACAGTGGGACCAATCAGAGTAATAGATATGCTTGCACCCACCAGAAAAGAACCTTGGACCGCTACCCACCAGGAGAGGAAGACACCCCACCTGAACCCACTGGAAAAAGGGATGGGAAGACAATATAAGAATGCATTCAATAGCAGGGTGGTGGTGGCACACTCCTTTAATACCAGCACTCAGGAGGCAGAGGCAGGCGGATCTCTGTGAGTTCGAGGCCAGGCTGGACCGACATACTCCAAAACAATACAGAAAAACCCTGTCTCGTAAAAAAACAAAAAAATTGCATTCAACATCAGGGCGGTGGTGGCATACACCTTTAATCCCAGCACTAGGGAGACAGAGGCAGGAACATCTCTGTACATTCGAGGCCAGACTGGACAGACAGCCTCCAAAACAATACAGAGAAACACTGTCTCCTAAAACCAGCAACAACAACAACAACAAAATGAATGCATTCAACAACAGGAAAACAATATGATGCCACCTGAATCTAGGGACTCTATACCAGCAAGTCCTCAACATTGCAACACAGATGAAAGAGAAGAGAATTAGCTTACTAACAACTTCTTGAAGATTATGATAGAGACCATAAAGAAGAAGTGAGAAAATCCTTGAAAGAAATGCCAGAAAAGAGAAACCAAGAATTGCAAGAAGTAATTCAATCAGTGCCAGGTTTGAGAGCTGAAATAGAATCAATTAAAAAAATGTCTGAAGGAATGCTGGAAGTGGAAAAGATGGGTAAACAGCAGGAACTACAGACTCAAGCATATCCAACAGAATACAAGAGAGGGAAGAGAGAATCTCAGGTGTTAAAAACACACTAGGAAAAACAGATTCATCAAGCAAAGAAAATCTTAGGTCCAGTAAATCTCTAATATAAAATGTCCAGGAAATATGAGACACAGTGAAAGGCCAAACCTAAGAATAATAGGGATAGAGGAAGGTGAAGAATCAGAGCTCTGAGGTACAAAAAACACATAAAACAAAATCATAGAAGAAAACTTTCCCACCCTAAAGAAAGACATGACAATGAAAGTAGAAGAAGCCTACAGGCTGGGCGTTGGTGGCACACGCCTTTAATACCAGCACTCGCAAGGCTGAGGCAGGTGGATCTCTGTGAGTTCGAGCCCAGCTTGGTCTACAGAGCCAGTTCCAGGACAGCCTACAAAACAGCAAGAGAAACCCTGACTGGAAAAACCAAAAAGAAAAAGAAAAAGGAAAAAAGCCTAGAGATCACCAAATAGATTTGACCACAAAAAGTTGCCTCAGCACATAATAATCAAAACACCAAACTTACCGAATAAGGAAACAATATTAATCTCAGGAAGGGAAAAATGCCAAGTTTTATATGAAAGCAAACCTATCAGAATCACACCTAATTTCTCCATGGAAACTCTGAAAGCCACAAGGTCCTGGATAGATATTCTTCCAACACTAAGAAAGCACAAATGCCAGCCCAGACTAGTATACACAGCAAAGCATTCAATCACTATAGATGGGCAAAACAAGATATTCTATGACGAAACTGGATTTAAACAATACATACCCATAAATACAGCACTATAGAAAGTATTGGAAGGAAAACTACTGCGCCTGCTGCTCAGCCTGTGTCCCAGAGTGTGCCGAGGTTGTCCGGATTGATGACACAGAGACCAGTGGCTTCCAGAAGGCTCCTCAAGAAGGCTCTACTTTATTCCTACCCTGGCTGGTTATATATACCCTTACACCAGAGGCGGCGGTGGGTGGGTCAGAAACAGGAGGTTGGTCGAGGTCAGGGCGTTCCGTGGGAGAGTCTTATCAGGAACTTATTGCTCCGGGCACCATATTGTTTTTAGTAAACATGTTTTTATTAAACATTGTCTTACAGATGGGAATGTGGGCCTCTGGCCAAGGTCTGTTGTTCCCAGAATTCCCCCGTTTTTATTTTTTAATGAGGCACTCCTGTCTTAGGTCAAATGGGGTCACCCTCCCTTAACCATCTATGGTGGACCTGGCCAACCCTGTCTTACATGGAAGGTCTCTTCCCCACAGGTTGTCCGTCATCAGAAAACCTCATTCTTGAACCATCTGTAACCAGACTTCATGACTACCAGGATTGCCATGGGCTAAGCTGAGCAATACTTGGTGATGAGTCTGTTGCCTATGGAACAAGGCACATTTGACCTCGGCATAAAGCCAGTATGTCTACCAACACTGCCACCATTCCCAGGACCCCCAATGACATAGTGCCCCTCCTTCATTGTACCCATCACACGATCTAGGCCGGAATATTCTACCAGCCTTCCTCAGTTACAAGGGTAACCCGCATATGATTTACAGGTACAATTTGGTGGTCAAAATGAAAACCCCTAACCAGGGCCCCCTAGGAAAAGAAAAACAAGGCCAGGCTGTTACCTAATGGAAAAACCCAGACCAGGTGCCTCACCCAGCTGGCACCTCAAACAGGATGTCAAACAGGATGTTTGTGGTCACCAGAGCAGTCATGGGACCCAGATAATAATTG